AGGGAGAAACAGAACAAAAACAGCAAATGAGAAAATTAATGAGCAAGTAGCAAGTGATTTTTTTATAAGTGTACAATTAACCATGACAAAAAAATTAATTATTTAGAACAAGAACATAATGAGGAAAGGGAAGGAATCACTCAGAGGAAACTTTCCAGGTTCTGGATAGATTAGACAGCTCTTCGGATTAATCTAGCAAGGCTCTTTATGTCCTTGGGCTCCTCAGTTTCCTTATCGCAAGATGACGGAAGCAAAATCATAAATCCCCTGCCTTACACACCAGATACTTCTCCACATAACAGATGCAAAGCACAGTAGATCTGATTTTAAATCACAATTAAATCCTGCCGGGTAGATAAAAATCACTGATTTTCTTTTTTAAAAAAACACACCCAAATTTGGATTTTTAAAAAAATATAAAAATTTTAAAAAAAAAACACTGATTTTTTATCCACCCTGCAGTGATGTAAATCAATTTCATAGAATTGGGGTAGGATTGGAAGGGACCTTGGAGGTCTTCTAGTCCAACCCCCGGCCCAAGGCAAGAGACCTGAGACCATGGGTTCTTGTCCTATCCTCAGGGGCAATGGAGAATCAATCAATGCCCTCTTCCCTGTGGCAACCCTTCAGATCTTAGGTAAGGTAAAGGTTAAAGGTTCCCCTCAACATTTTAGCCCAGTCGTGTCCCACTCTAGGGTGAGGTGCTCATCCCCATCTCTTGCCAACTTCTTTCCCAGAGCCGGCCTATCAGCTGGATTGGGGGGGGGAGCTGGCCTGGAGCTGGGAGGTTGGCAGGAGGTGGGACAAGCGTCGGGAGCTCCCTCCATCACGTGGATTCAATCTTACGACAGCTGGTCTTCCGACCTTGCAGCCCAGAGGCTTCTGAGGTTTAACTCGCAGCGCCACCACGTCCCTTAAGAATTCTGCAGAGGTAGAACCCCTGCACTATGATTAGAGCACGGCCTTGAACGAAGTCATCGGGCTGCACTGCGGCTCAAAATGCCGCACCACCCCGCCAAGCAGCTCGGCTTGATCCGAACGGGCAGCCTTAGGAACTGCCCCACGGAAACGTGTCCATATCGGCCCTGTCTCTGGCGTGGTGTGTACACAAGGTGTAGACGTATGGCAAATGAGCCACAACCCATATTTAATGGGGAAAGTCGTTCATTTAATTAGCAGAAGACATTAAGAAAAAGTGGAAAGGGGGGGGAAATGACGTTCCCCGCGGTCATCACCACTAATGGCACTAAGAGGGGTCCTTCGTTCACGCCCTCGTAAACCTGCTCACAAAAACAAGAGGAAGGCAAGTGGTACATTTTGGCGGAGAAACTGTTGGTTTTCTATCTACATAAAGAGTTTAACCTAAGATGACCTAAGGTTAAAAAAAGAGCAGGAAAGGTTTTTTTCCCTGTTCTTATCTTGGATTTCTGTTCTCAAGTAGAAGCAAAATTTAGCAAACGGAGCTGTTCCTAAGTTGGATTGTTCTTAAGTAGGGACGTTCTTAAGTAGAGACCCCACTGTACACTCGAAAAAAATGAACAAGACTTACCTGACCTTAAACCTGATAACGGCAGATAGAATTGTCCATACCAGTAAGTGGAAGACTACAGAGGCGCCGACCAAGGAGGAATTTATTGAGAAGACTTTGGAACGAGCAGAAATGGCTATTTTGACAGACGCACTAAATGATAGACTGGATAATAATAAATGGGAACCTCTTTAGACCTGGATGAAATCTACACCGATTTAAGTTGAATAGATTAGATTAATATTACGTTAGAGAGTGTAAGACAAGATGAAATGAACGGAACATATTCTCATAAATCACACTGGTTGCAACGGATAAAAAAGTAGAAAAATACAATAAAAATATTTAGAAAAAAAAAGAAAAGAAGAGGATAGTTACTCAACTGTGCCATAGCATGGGTGATATCCTGCTTCGGCAGGATAGGTATGGGTGGAATGAGTTACTTTTGCTCCCTTTTCAGCTGAAAAGATGCCACGGAAAGAAAAAGAATTCTGAACAGTCGAGTCAATAAAAGCAGTCGCTGAGCGCAGGAGTGGCTCACAGCCCGGGACGGAGGACTACCACACCCCACATTTTCATGAGTGTGTGTCGAAGTGCTCCTTTGCCTTCGTTCCAAGCTGCCTTTGGTTAAAAGATAAAAAAAGTAGACCTCAGTAAGAAAGTAGAGACAAAGCCAAAGGGAGGCTGCAGTCAAGAAATGAGAAGAAGGCTGAGACTTGGAAGGCCACCAATGAAACAAATATAGATTCCTTCGAGATGCGGTGCAGGAAGAGAGCCTTGCGGATGCCCCGGATGGCCAGAAAGAGGAACGAGGGGGTCCTAGATCAGATCAAGCCTCAACTCTCTCTCTCTGGAGGCTAAAAAGGCTGAGAACTGAGGCTGGTCCTACTTTGGGCACAATCGTCAGAAGGCAGGATTCTCTGGAGAAAAGACAATGAAGAGGTGGGAAACGCGGAAGGCAGCAGGAAAAGAGG